CAATAGCTTGTTGGCGTATAAGAGTGCAACTGGCTAAACAGATAAAAGAACTTGGGCTTTTTTGAAATAAAGAACTGAAAAATACTCCCCCCCATGTATTATTTAGTAACTGTCACTATGGGCCTAGCTGCAGATTGCTATAAAAACTTTTCCATCTATTTTTAAAAAATAACAGGCAAACCGCAGACAACCCTCTAACCCCTGACGACATGCAGGTATAAGAGTGCAACTGGCTAAACAGATAAAAGAACTTGGGCTTTTTTGAAATAAAGAACTGAAAAATACTCCCCCCCATGTATTATTTAGTAACTGTCACTATGGGCCTAGCTGCAGATTGCTATAAAAACTTTTCCATCTATTTTTAAAAAATAACAGGCAAACCGCAGACAACCCTCTAACCCCTGACGACATGCAGAACAGAAGGAACACATTCCTTCCTGCCTTTCTCTAGAACTCCCATTTAAACCAATCAAATTCCAGATTCACAAATATTTATCTTAAACTAATTTTGGAATGGACAGAACTGCAAACAGATGTAGTCCAGTTTTTAGCTTCAGGACCTAGCTTTCAAAGAACAGGAGCAGCTGCAGCTCTTAACTTCAGTGGACACCAGAGCAGTGTGTCTCAGCTAGGCTAGGCCATCCAGGTTGCTGCCCATGTTGTGTGCTAACTTGGACCTCCCCATTTACAATTCAAACTTAAAAGAGAAAATCTACATTTTTTTCAAAGCTAATAATTAAAAGAAATGTCTGACTCATGCACTGACAAATTCCAACAGCTGCTCCTGCTATACAGACTTGGTTCACTAGGTCTGTGATATTTTACATTTTTTATTACAACACATACAGTGCAAGAGCTCAAATACCTGTGTGGCTCTATGTGACTGACACATACAGTTTTGAGCAAACAGTATTGTCAACTGTCATCAACCAACAGCAAAGTGAAAGGTCCACTGGCAGTTAAAAAAAAGATCAAGTATTCCCCTGCTTCAAGAGTAACAGTCATTTTGATGAATTTTTGTTTTCAAGAAGAAAGACATAAGGCTGGTTTTATTTTTTGCCTGTTTCCTGATACCCATTTACCTTTAAAGTCTTATCTTACACTGAAAGCAAGAGAAAAATAGGAAAATAATCCAAGTCTACCAGCCCTATTCAAGTCCACAAGAGTCTGGCTCCTTGTGTCATCATGAAGACTCTTTCCACTGTCTTGCTCCAGCTGGATTTGTTTAATCCTCACAGTTTTGGTCACCATCTGGCTCATTTTGTTGTCTATGCAGAGACTGTACATCAGACATCCATTCACCGCAATAGGAACTCTTTGCTGAGTGATTTGATAGCCAGCCTGTCAACAAAATTAGTGTTATACTCAAATGAAACATTCACTTTTCAGAAAGCAGCAGCATGGCCAAGTGCAAATACTGGCTAAGAACAAAACTGAAAATGTAACATCTTCCATAGTGACCTATGTAAGTGGACAGAACATATGCACATCTAAATTCAGAAGTCATTTTGCTTAGATGGAAAGGAAGCAAGCTAGAAGACGGTCTAGAATTCAACATCATTGTAAGAAGCTGAAGGTCTGAAAAAAATAAGAGCACTCCTCAATACAGGCAAATATATGATACCATCCTAATGCTGAAATCATCACTCTCACTAAACCAATTTCTGGCCAAGGATGGCAAACTTCACTGATACTGCCCTGGGGCAGGAAATGGACTGGAAGAGGTTATTTCATGCCTGTGGCTCTGTGTTCATGTTAAATCTTGTTTGAAGCCAGTTGCTGTACTTCCATTCCCAAGCTGGGACTATCACTCATCCTCACATCAGGCTGAATATCCCTCTCTCTCTGTTCCAAATAGTACTCATTAGAGGGGAGGAAAGGGAAGGGGTGGGGGTGTAGAAATCAAGAAAACGAGAAAATCCAATTTCATTAATGTAGCAATTTAAAAGACACACACTGCAACCCCACATAAGGCACACAGCGGATAAATGCCACCTCATGCTTGGGACTCCACTCAAAGAGGAAGCTGTTAACCAGAAAAGGGGCTGCCAGTAACAAGGTATCAGAGTAACTGCAGTGATGTAAAAGCACAAAAGTCAACTGGAGTAACTGCAGTGATGTAAAAACACAGAAGTCAATGACAGCTGAAGTGAGGTCCCCATCCCTTCCTGCTTCCTTGCCTATTCATGGCACTACTGGTGAGAATTAAGAGAACCTGCCAGCCAGATACAAATGAAGTTGGAGGAGCATTTGCATATTTTGCAGGGAGGATGAGTTTATTCTAAAATGTAGTGATGGTGACAGAGCATTGGACTGGACAACAGCAGTCTGGCCCTGTGAACATCCCAATTTATATGTCCAGTGAAGTGCATGACCTTCTAGCCATGATCACTGTAAGAAAAATAAAATAACTGACTCTATGCAGTCTATGCTAATCACACAGCTCTTCCCACCTCCTAAACTTCTCATTAAAATGATTTTTTAAAGCCTGAAATAGTGAGTGACAATAAATAACATGAATCCCATTTCCTATCCAAAGCCCCATTTTCAGGAGGAACAATAATCCCATTGTCAAATGACCCTAAGAGCAGGATTTATCTGTTTTATACAGCTCATTAGCCTAAACTCTGCATCTTATTATAGGGTTCCTGACTAGACAGTTCACTCTGAAATGCAGGTCGAGCAGTTTATTGTCAGTGCTTAAACTGCGAAAGTCAGTCAGTAGAAAGCCAGAATTACATGCTTCAAGCTAATAAAATGTGTCAGCACCTCCCTGACCAAATTCCCATGTTTTCCTGACCAGAGGATCCTGTAACACGTTTGCAGACAATAGCAGGCCACTTGGTGCCCACACCTTCTTCCACCTCAGTGTTCTCCTCTTAATCACATGGATGTGGAGTCTTTCCTATAACAGCATTCATCCATGTAACTTCTATGCAGTAGACTGATAGCAGCAGACATCACAAGAATATGAGAGGCTGTTTTCAGTTTAAAAGCAGAAGCACTAAAGGTACCTTGCAAACAAGTCTCTGATATGTTTGGTATTTGTGATGTGTAAAGGAATTTTGAAAGTCATAGTTTTTTTCCTGCTATTTCACATTTTCTCCTTCATGTCTTGAAATGGGCTTTAAGACAGTCTACAGTTAAAAAAAACCCAAACACTGACAATTCAAACTGCTAAGTTTGCATTTCACATTCCCAGCAGGTCAGTACAGAGCCCACAACAAAAGGGCCTCCTACTGGCTCACAAATATTAGCAAAGATATCCTCATTTCTGATCTTTTTTGCAGATAAAATAAAGTCCCTTTTTTTCTTTTAATGCAGTTAGCAGATCTTCACCCTCAAAACACAGAAAGCAAAAACTAGTGTCCTCCTCTTGACAGATTAGTGTTAAACTGAACATTCAGTACAAATAAGCTGACAGAAAAAAAAGTTTAAAATTAGACAGGTTTCATTTCATTAGAATAGAAAAAAAGGCTCCAACATTGCTGCAATGACAGAAGTCAGGTTCTTAAATTATTTCAATATTTCTACATCCACATCAAGAGCAGCAACATGTATTTGACTTCCAGTGACTCCTTCTACCTCACACAGGAGCTACCAACAAATCGTATCACAAAGACTCAATTTCCCAATTGTTTTTGTTTTGTTTTTTCATTTATTGGAACCATGACTGAGAAACCTTTGAAAGGAAATGAAGTATTTTTAGGTCCCTAAGCACACATACAGAAAGATGCTACTATGCTTATATCACTGAAATCTGTGTTTGTTATATATTCACTTTATTTAAAGGACTATTATCAGACTGCTTTTACCCTAACAGACAATTAGTACTACACACCAGGAATGGACAACTTAAGGGACAAAGCAGCTCCAGCTCCCAATTCAATTATATTAAGCTACTGGAATTGTGCAGCTAAGCAAGGAGTCAGCAATCAAGAGCAATCATATTCAATCAGTGAGCACCAGGGTAGAGCTGTCTATTTCATCAGGGCACAGCACAGCATCCTCTTGGGGTGAGCAGAGCACTGACTGAAAAGAAAGCATCTCTTCCCTTATCCCCTACTGCCATCCATACCCCAGACTTGTCCTTTCCTACAGCCGCAGAGGGACCAGCTATACTGCATACTTACAGGCAGATCTGCATAGAAGTAGTGTTTTCTGTCAAACAAGGACTTCTTGTTTATGCTACAGTTGAGTGCCAGGCCTGTCATCACTGCTGCTTCTACACATCTCCTGTTGAGAACCTAAGGAAACATGACACATGGTTTTGCTCAGATACTCAGTATGTAGCAAAGTGTCTCCCACACACTACCTTATATGGAGCATAGATTCAATTTCGCTTGCTTTCAGCCACCATTAGATCTCTTTCCTTGAGTGGGTAGTTCTTATTCATCATTAAAGTTGTGGTAGCTATAAACCTGCAAAGCTTTAAGATGAAAAAACAAGCTATTCAGTCGTTTTGTCATACCACATAATGAGGTGTGCCCTTTTCTGGCTTGCTACTTTTGCAAACATTTCAGTGCTTTTGAATCTTTGAGGGTACAGGAGACAAATCACAGCAAATGATAACTGACTCGTAACCAGCTGCCAGCTCATCCTGGGAACTGGAAACACAGGGATTTGCATTAGGGAATGCAGTGCTGTTTCAGTAAAATACTTCAGAACACCTGTAACCACAGTGAATTCATGAGTATCTTCATATACAATAGATTTTAACGCTTTGGTTAACCAGGATGAAATTAAATGCCCTGGCATGCTTTGCTAAAACAGTAGCCAAAAGACAACAATTTCATCCCATGGCTACAAATGAAAGTCTCTAGTACACAGGTAACCCATGGGATTACGGTTCTTGCAGAATGCCATGTGACCTGAAGGCCCAGCAAGGCCTTCATGAAGAAGTAAAGGAGTTAAATGCAGTTTCACAACATAGACCCAGCACTCTCAGCACTATACCCTTGTACCTCCTCAGCAGGGTCAGGATCTAGAGGAAAAAGAAAATTTCACTCCAAAAAGTACTAAGTTATGCCTTTTTCTGATGTGCTCCCATTAATTTAACAGTTCGTTTAACTAACATCAAATGGATGAAACTGAAAAGGAAAAAAGACTGAATTTGTCTTAGTACAACTGTGACATGCTCACACTTAGAGCATTTTGAAACAGGAACAGAACTTTATCCATCTTGTTCTGTACTGTACAGCTGCCAAGAAGTCTATTTCCAGCAGGACCATTAAAGGGGCACATTATGTAAAAGAATGTACATGACTTCATCTGCATTGACCAGAACATAAAAGGCTTAAATAACGTTTTCTTCCATGTCTCTGACAGTATTTACTTTTTATATTCTCCAGCCTGATTTCTGAAAACATATTAAGCAGCTGTACATTTCCCATCATCCCATGTCTCCATCTGAAAAAAGAATCTCTTTGCTTTACTTATTTAGTATTTTTAAAAAATCAAAATAATAAGAGAGTATATGGAAAACTATTCATGTAATAGAAACTTAAAAATTGCTTATACAGGAAAGAAATTAAATATTTAAGACATTTAACAAGGGAACTTTCAGATCTTTAGTGTAGCTATATATGGCTAACTAGAACACATCATCTGTTCAGGCATATTTTACTTATTAAAAAATTTAGAAGATACATAAAGCAAATTCTAAATGAGAAAAAAGGAAGAACAATTTCCCTTTGAAATACTGATCTGCAGCAAAATGAACGCAATTAGTCCTGACTGTAATCTAAAGCAAAATTGGTAACTACGAAATATTAATTTATTTCAGTAGCATAGCTGCAGTTCATTATATAGTTGATGCTCCTGTTGTCAACAATTAAATGCTTCCAGACGGTACAGAGACTTTTTTTTACTGTTTAAGGAATCCTGTAAGAGTGCTAGACAAACTGTTCAAGGTTTAAAATATCACCATATTTCTAAATACACAGGCAAATTTCCCCCTACTAAAGCCTTAAGGCCCAATCCTGTTCAGCTTTACAAATTAGGGTGGACCATGCCAGTCAGACCTTTAAAAACTGGTCACCAGAAACCCATTAAGCCTCCACAAGGACTGGCTGATTCAAAACACCACTGCTCTAAAGCAGCGACCTAGTATCTTGCTACAATTCCTAACGGCGCAGGGGGTCATGACTGACTGCAAACAGCAAACAAGACAGAACCCAACCCCTGAGTCAGAATCAGTCAGAGCTTCATTCATAGCACATTCTTCAAACACAGGTCTAGATTAGCTAACGACTGCACTACTACTGCCTTTGACCACCTGCTCTTCAGCTTTTGCTTCAAACAGGGTAGAGTGTATCTTACTCATTGTCCTAAGATGTAACAGTGTTTTGAGGTGAAGGACATGATTCCCACACACATACTACTTACACCAGAAAGAACCTTTTGCACTACTGCTGACGAACCGTTTTGGCAGCTCTGAGGAAAAAACGGCATAAAAACGTGAAATACTGATTATTTTTTACGCAGCATTGCTAAGCATTTAGATGACTCTAATTTGTATGTGACCCCAGTGTACTGGATCATGCTAGCCAAATCATTGTATGTGCACCCTATATATGTATATGCACCATGTATATATTCATTCAACTTCCTGTGCTACTCTGTAACCGATCTCTGTGGTGGCAGAAGGCATTGCAAAGCAGATCTTTCCCACTGTGGCACCCTGAGATGTCTACCACGTCAACCTGCTTCCTCTGAGCTGTGTGACTTAAGAAAAACCCAAACAACCAGACGACCCTCTAGGTCCTCGAAAATCCAAACTTACCAGTTTAACACTGCTCCATTTCTGAAGCGACTACTACTACCCACTCCAGTGATCATGGCTGTGTGCACAAAGCAGAGTTGTTTAAGCAAACTACTACTTTTCCTTGAAACAAGCCTTGCTTTTCAAATAATCTGCAGTGATAAACATCAATTCAGTATGTGAAACTTTCCATACTAATGACCTAGAATAAGTCCTCCAGCTTGTTTATGCAGTAAGCTGTTATTAAGTTGACAGCTTTGACTAGCACCAAAGATTTAAATTACTGGCTTGAACTGACAAGCTGCCTGTCTGGTATGTTAGCAAAGTGCTGGCCTTGAAAGCAAGCTGTGTAGTTCCTGCAATAGTTATGGACAAAACAGAAGAGTCTCTACAGACTTCAATATTTCTGGTCTTCTAAAATGGAAGCACCCCTCCTAGTATTTAAAGACAATCCTAGAGAGCTATCGCAAAAGGCAATTTAAACTGTTTGTATTGGAAACTCATGAAAAACCTTAACAATGGCATTGCACCACCAGCACCATTTCCCTTGTAGCTGTGCTGCCCTGCTAGAGCACCATGGTAACTGAGCACTAAAGGAATGAAAGAACAATCCAACCAAGATCTCTCTTTTTCTGGTACTTGTCTATTCTTCGCATCTAATTCACAAGCGGAAAGACTCCTTTTAAAAACTTATCACCTTTATTTGCAACTTCAGTTTAGTCAGGACCTTGGTTTTAAATACAAGACTATTCAACAGCTATACAAAACCATACACAATAGCTTCAACGGCACAAATCCCCACCAAAGGCAATTTTCTTGCAGCTTTTTCTTTAACAGCGGGTTTACTCCTTATATTAATGCATTAAAGAAAGCTGGCAGCCTTTTAGGCAAAGATATATGTTTCTATATTTAGTAAATTATAATTTTTACATTTTAAAGAGGGTAGGTATGGAGCTTCTTGTTTTGCTAATGAGTATTATATAGGCTAATTGGGGAAAAAAAGAGAAGAAACATCTAGATGTCTCTCCTGGAAGAAGTTTATTTTTGCTACCTTTTACAACAAAAATAACAGTCTTCGCAATAACATTTGCACCCAGGAAGCCTACATTACAGAACAAAGTATTCCTTGTACTAAAACCAGTAAATAACCAAATAACCAAAATAATTCCTCACATATTTTTTAAGTTTTTGATTTTAGGTCACACATTTTAATAAAGTAGATTTAATATTAATTGATTATCTTAAGACCTTCATTCCCTACTTCTAATCATGAAAAAAATAAGCATTAATCAGACTAACTACAGGAGTGTTTATCTAAGAAACATTTAATTTTAGCTCCTTTTCATTCAAAGCAGCTGAAAGAAGGAAGTAGTGCAGAGCACTTAGCCAGCTCTCTGTAGACCAGGCAGTAATCTTTAGAAACCTCAACAGATATATCTAATCATATTTCCCAGTACTCCCATTTCATATCACTCTGATTTTTATTTGCTTCCACTAATGGATATATTCAGTCTTACTATTCTTGCTGTATTAAAAGTACCAACTTTCAGCAATATATGGTTCTTTGAAGTGCAATCATAAGTTAAACTTCACAATAAACTACTCTTATATCTCCTTAGCCAAAATGCAATTGTGGCTGTTCAGTCTAACACTGTAGATGAGTACATCACTGCAGCATTCTGCCTTGGCATCCTCCCACATGCAGAAAAGGGACCAACTGCCTTGTAGCTATGCATGCACAGAATGTACATACAATAACTGAAGAGTTGACCATTTCCCAAATGAACCATTTATTTCAACAGGTTACAATCAGACTCCAATCCCTCTAAGCATACAGTGAAAATTTTTTTAAAAAAACCCAAGCCAACCTATGTCTTGTATTGTTTGGTCTGCAAAGAGCCCAAAATTCCAAAACCTGGGGTTTCAAACTGCAGGAGAAATTAAAAAGGCCAGCTTCAGGTTTAGGTCTTCTGCACTGCAGTCCAGCATCTACTTCACAGCGCACTTCCTGCTCCAAGATGAGCATTATGTTCTTATCCCTAAGGAAAGGGGCGGGACAGTAGGGCAGGAAGCACCAGACATCTTAAATTAAGATCTTATATTAACAGAAAGAGATGCCAGCTTAAGAGAACAAAATGGCAACTCAGAAGTTGAAACAGCAAAGGAAGGCAGCAGAGGGGCATTAAATACACTTAATATATTTTGTAACTTTACCTTTCCACAGTCTGGTAGCAAAGCTATATGCTGCTATATAAAACATTATTATTGATAACCTTGTCTGTTGGCAAAGTTGGCTTGTGGTGATGCAGCACATAGGGATTCAAGTCATATCTTAAAACCAGGCAGTTCTGAGATTAAGAAGTAGCCAGCTCCCAAACACATTACTTCATGTGTACTCAAAAGAATAAGAGGGCACATTTCCTCAAAGCTGAAGAGCTAGCCTGAAAGCTCAGATCACAAGGCTTAGAACTGGAGGAAGCATCT